ATATGCAAGTGCAGTTATGAAAGAGGGTAGTGTAGCAATTAAACAGTTGAACAAGGAGCACAAATGCCATAGAAATGTCCACACCAGGCAGGTTACATCAGAGTGGATTGCTGAGGAGTTTGTTGAGAAATTCAGAAAGAATCCAAACATGTCCATTACCCAAATGGAAGAAATAATCTCTGAAAAGTTTGCAGTACAACCTACAAAGTGGAAGCTTTATAGAGGAAAGTGGAGAGCTCTTGAGATGCTTAGAGGTTCAGTAATTGGCCATTATGCTTCTCTGAGAAGTTACATGGCAGAGTTGTTGAGGGTAGACAGAGATGGAAGGTTTGAGTTTCTTCTTGGTGAAGAAACTACATTCAGAGGGTTCTATGTGGGATTTAGTGCACTGAGAAAGGGTTTCATTAGTGGTTGTAGGCCCATTTTAGGATTTGATGGGTGTTTCTTGAAGACTTTTATTGGTGGGGCTTTATTGTGTGCCACAGCAAAAGATGGCAACAATCAAATATACCCTGTGGCTTGGGCAGTTGTTGAGACAGAAAATGAGGAATGTTGGAGGTGGTTTCTAGGTATTTTGTTTACTGATTTGGGAATTACTGATGGTCTTGGATATACTTTCATGCCAGACCAACAAAAAGTAAGTTCTCTCTCTAACATATATAAATTTTGTGAACATAAATGAATTTTTCCACTTATTCAAATTTTATCCTTTTGCAGGGTCTTCTTAATGCATTAAGAGATTTGGCTCCACATGCTGAGCACAGAAACTGTGCAAGACATGTATATATGAATTGGAAGAAGAGTTTCAAAGGGCTCACACTGAAAAGCATTTTTTGGAAGATTGTGCTCAGCACTCACTTGGGGGACTACAACATATTTTTGGAAGATTTGAAGTCAGAAGATCCAGCTGCTTATGAAGATTTCATGGACAGAGATCCTACCAAATTTTGTAAGGCTTACATTTCTCCATTGTCTAGATGTGATATGATTGAGAACAATGTGAGTGAGACATTCAATGGAATGATTGTTAAGGGTAGAAGCAAACACATTATTGATATACTTGAGTTTGTTAGAAGTGAGTTAATGAAAAGACAACATGACAAATTGTTAGGACATAGTGGGTATACAGATAGGATTTGTCCTAGAATAAGAAAGAAGTTAGAGCACAACAAATACATGTCTAGGCTCTGTCTCACAAAGCCAGCTGTTGGTGAAAGATTTGAGGTTGTGCATGAGGATGATCAGTTTGTTGTGAACTTGAAGAACAAGACATGTACTTGCAGAAGTTGGGACATTACAGGCATACCATGTGTACATGCATGTTCAGCAATAAATTTCCAACATCAGGATCCTGTAGAGTTTGTGTCTGAGTACTACTCAGTTGAAAGGTATCTGCAATTGTACAACTTGTCATTAGAACCCATAAATGGGAAGAAATTGTGGCCAGTTGCACAGGGCTTTCCTATTCTTCCTCCTCCTTTTAAAAAGATGCCAGGAAGGCCAAAAAAGAAAAGAAAGAGAGCACCTGAGGAGGAAATGAATTGTGGGACTAAGTTGAGGAGATTTGGGTTGACTATGACTTGCCAAAGATGTTTTCAAAAAGGGCACAATAAGAAATCATGCTCTAATCCTCCAGTGGAGAAACAACCAAAGGTTATAAATTCTATTTCAAGTCTTATTATGATAAACATCTATTTGAAATACAAATCATATCATGTTTTAATTTCTATTTTTTTGTTAGAATCCAAGGGGAAGGCCCAAGAAGAATGTTGGATCAGCCCAACAGTCATGCTCTAATCCTCCAGTGGAGAAACAACCAAAGGTTATAATTAATATTTCAAGTCTTATTATGATAAACATCAATTTGAACAACAAATAAAATCATGTTTTAATATCTATTTTTTTGTTAGAATCCAAGGGGGAGGCCCAAGAAGAATGTTGGATCAACAGCTGAAAACACAAGTTCATTGTCAACAAAGAAGTCAACTCAACAGTCAAGCCAACAGTCATCATCTTTAACTCTAAAGGAAAGAGCTCTGGTAATAGCATTTTATTTTTATTAAAGTTTAATTATATTTGTTGTTTCTGTGCTCAGTTATTCCATATATCATGTTGTTTCTGCTCAATTATTATTATATTTGTTTTTTAGGCAAGAAAGGGATTTGGAATCCTTCAGTCTGAGGAGACTGGTAATACCTACATGAGGGTATGTCTATTACCTTAACAGTTTTCTTTCTAATATTTTTTTATAATGATTTTCATTTATTATTTAAAATGTCACAAATGCAGTTGTCATCAGAAAGAAGAGTTCATGTAATTTCTGAGAAAGGTACTGGTTCTACCAACACTGGAGGGAAGGGAAAAATGCAGAAGGGGAAGAAGACTAAGGGTGCTTTAGGCACTCAAGAGAGTGATTCTCGTAGATGATGATTAACTTAGGTTTATTTTGGAGTATTTGTTGAACTGTGGATGATTAGAAAGGATTTACTTTTGTACTATTGTTGATTGTGGAGTGTTGGAAGTATGTGATGTTGTTTTGGAACTCAGATTTAGGCTATGTTGTTTTGGAAGTTGTCAGATTAGGCACTCAAGACCTATTTGATGTTGTTTTGGAAGTTCTCATATTATTAATCACTTTGGAACAGATTATTAATCAATTTGGAGTGTTGTTGTAATGTTTAGAGTGCTTTATCATTGTTTGTAATGTTGATCTCAGTTTTCTATAAATAATGTGTTGTTAAGTTGGAACTCATAAATTTCAGAACATAACAAAAGATTACACCAAATAAAAGGACAATAACAATGAGATAAAACACAACAATAGATTACATTCTTTCTTAAGTTCAATACATCCACAAAATGAGACAAAATATAACAATATTCAAAGCAACATTTTAGGCCTCTGCTCATGACCAGAATTCCCAACCAAATTAAGGAAGAAAATCATCATAACCACAATCAAGCAAAACATTACAACATTCATCTTCCTTTCCAGTTTTTGCATGAGACCTAATGTATTTTTCATAACCAGCACGGCTTCATTGTTCTTCCGAACTTCAACCTCAAGATCATTCAGTTTTTGTTCAAAGTCAATGTCACGGTCCGCAATTTCATCTTTTTCCAATGCCTTTCCAGAGTACAATTTCTCCACTGCAACCTTACCCCTCAACTGCTCTTCCAAATACTCTTTCTTAGATTTCAATTGCAGAAAACAAGATTTTTGGAACTGAGAAATTTCAGGATCAATCCATTCAAACAAACCGCAGTCATTCCCTTCCTAAGCAATGTAAACCGAAAAATTAGGGTTTATAAAAAATTGGGGTTTTAATTAGGTTTATGAAAATTAGGGATTTTGAAGAAAACAAACGAAAAAGCCGCGGTCATTCCCTTCCTGAACAATGTAAATCGAAAAAAATTAGGGTTTATAGAAATTGGGGTTTTAATTAGGTTTATGAAATTTGGGGATTTTGAAGAAATTGGACTTTAAAATGAATTGAACTGAATTAAATCGTGCCAAAAGTCCTGATACCGAACCAAACAATCTCCATTTTTTGTAAAATTTAAGCGATTAAGTGCGAATCTATAAAATTTCCTCCTTATCCAAACCATCCCGACCAAACACAATACACGTAGCTCACCTTCCACGTAGCACATCTATAGAACCTTCTACATGGATTATCGTCCGTCGTGGAGGAATACACCTTTGCTACCTTGGGATGGCGACAGCGACATAGCTTCGAAGGAACACTGGAGCTTCCAAAACTCTCTGGCTTGCGCGAGATGAAGACGACATCTTCCACTAGCAGATCGTGGCTTGCTTGCTCGAGCTATCGTCTGCCAAAAGAAAAAAAATAAAAAAGAACTTTCGAAAGTAAGATTGAGAAATTAGGGTTGGGGAATTTCTGAAATTGGGGAGGGGGGAACGGGTTTAGGGTTGCAAATTTTTGATTTGGGAATTTCTCAAATTGGGAAGGGACCGGGTTTTTATACTTCTTTCATAAGAAATTCCACGTGTTTATTTAATCTGACTGAGCAACTGAAAATTACACGTAGATAAAACACAGCCGGACACGCTGGCATGTTTTCACCGTCCGACGGGTTTTAAGTCAATTTTGCAAAAGTAAGACAACGTAGAGATTATATTGCTATTATTCAAAAGTTTGGATTAAATTGCCAAAAGTGAAAAGGTCGAGGTTTATTTGGCAATTAACCCTTTTTTTTATTAGTACAACACTTTTATTATTTGATTTGTTTTTTCTTTTTCCAACTCATCTAATTCAATTTATTTCCAGCAACCCTCTTCACCTTACTCCCTCACATTCCCCCCTTCAACGGCCTGAGAGCTGGCCGGCAGAACCAATTTTATGATCCTCTTCACCTCTTCCTGCCACCGCCCTCTTCAACCTGCCAGAATTCTGCCCGTTTCCTCCGCCGTTTGTTATGTCTTGTTAGACGCCTAGGGCAACTCCTTTTGCCTTCATCAAACTCTTTTAGAACATGAAACCTGCAAATACAAACGTTAAACTAATCAGTGGCAGTCTTGTTAATCACCAGTTACAATGAAAAACACCACGGCAAGGATAAATAATGCTAGCTATGTAGAGAAAAATACCAAAGACGGTAGATTAAGAAAATTAAAAAAATAAATAAATAACCTGCTACACTGCTGGAAAGACCTCTGGACATCATTGCCCACAAAAGCACAATGCCGCCGGTGATAATCCTTTTTGCACTGCTCAAAATCTGCTTTGCAGTCCTCCACTTGACAAACGGCACGACTCGACTGGGAGCCCACAACTTTCGGCTTTTTACTGCTCTTACCCTGCAATAACGCGTCATCATCTGAAAGCTCCCCTTCAATGACTGGACAAACTTGTCCCCCAAGCTTCAGATTAAGGGATCCACCAGACTCTTAATGATGCAGTTGAACATTCTGCTATATCATACGAAAAAGAAAGCACCCTCCATGATCCCAAATAAATAGTACACGGAGATTCTGCTATATCAAAAGTAGAAGTTATGAAAAATAGAAAGAAAATAATTACCTTTAGCTGCATCAGTATATCATATCCTCAGAGTCGAGAGTGAAAAATAGATTAACTTTCTCCAATCACAATCTATAAAGAAATAAAAGAACATTATTAAAGATTTACCTAAGAAAATGACCATCTAATAGATATACACATACCTGCATAACAATAGACTTAAACATAAACTAACAAATTTCAGGGAAACAACTTGAAAGAGTAGGGTCCTAGAACATACAACAACAACACAAATACATGGACAAATAAGAAAGACCAATAGGAACCCAAAATTCCTATAACTGAAATCTACAGAATCAGATGCCAGGGATAGCAAAATATGATATATAACCATTGATGGCTAAAGAAACCACGAGAATCAAGCTACTATGTACAAATTTTCATAACATTGAAAGTGGCACAAATTTTCCACCCAATATCTTAATAATTGCTTTCATCTTTTCACGTCTAACATTCATGTAGCAACTAAAATAGAAGATATTGGTGCACACAGATGACAATTCTATCATCTTGGTGAAAACAAAAATAATATGATAATTATGGCCACCATTTTGATATCAGGCGCACCCAGAGATCCATTGAATATTTATCCTCAAGTAAGAAATCATGGCTTACTTGTGATCTTCAACTGCATCGACTCTTCGTTTTCGAAATCGAAAATCCTCTTCTTTTCTCTGAATCCCTATCCTCCCGCTCGGGGCCCGGCATCAATTCTTCCGGGCATGGCGAGTAAGAGTTTGAAGCTGCTGGAATACGTGATTGATTTGAGGCGGGAGTCGTGATTGGCGTCGGCGGAAAAGGACGGGCCGATTTCAGGTTGTGTCGGGTCAGTAGCGGGTTTGATGCGAAGGGTTTGGAATTCAGAGGAGCGGCGGCGGCCATTGACGGAGAGAATTTTGAAGGAGGGTGAGGTGAAAGAGGAGAATGAGAGTATGAGATCTTTTATATATAACATATATAAGATTTTAATTAAATAATACATACCTAAAATATTTGCATCATTTGAATGGTAACAACCATTATATTTGACTATAATGATTCTATACCTTAATTGCATTGATTTTTTTAATTTGAATTTCAAATGATTAGCCGCCAATTTTCAAAAAGATTTTAAAAAATTACTAATAAAAGTAAAAATGAAATTTTTAGGCAGGAATTAAGTTGTTATTTTAGGTAAATGTCAATTTTTTTTATATTATTATAGATTATTATAGATTATTAATAAGCATGAGTTTGTGGAGGTGTGCTTTGACGCGAGGCATACCCTGCGGCCCTTCCTATTTGCTTAATTCCCTTTGTTTAGAGGATCCACAATGCTTTGGGTCTCTTAACAAAAAATCATATGCCACATGAGAAATAGACTTAGTCTACAAAAAAATATTTTTCAATGCAATTAAAAGTGGACATAGTCTAGCTTATGTGGCAATAAAAAAAGAGACCAAGTCCACACTTGGGTCTATTTTGGACCCAAGTACAAGCCCAAACACTCATCATTTAATCTTAATTTAATTTTTCTTTTAATAAAGAAAACATATTAGATCATTTTTATTGGTTGGCATGTATGCTAGACCTAGTATGTTTATTTTTGCATTGCAAAGTTTTTGAGTTTTTTTACTTGAGTTTGTCTATGTCATTTTAAGACCCAAGTCCAATTATATGCCACATATACAAAAAGAGATCCAAAGCATTGTAGATGCTCTTAGGGTATGGCCCAATTCTTTGGGTAATCGTTATATTACATTTTTTGGGCTGTGTTTTTCCTATTAAAAGGCGGGACACTTCTTTAAAAATCCCTAGATCCTTTTTTTAATTCCATTTCAGTCCCTATGCCTAATTTTCTTCCTCTTTACTCCCTCCCACTTGCAAGCCCTCAAATATTCCCATAATACCCTTGTTTCTATTACCTTTTTATTTCTTATGCAACAGTTACTTGTTTTTGTAAATTTATTAATCCGTTTAATTGTTTTTCACATATCTTCATCATGTCATAATAAAAATCTAAGTTTGTAATTTCATGTAAATAAATATACCTTGTTATATCCATTTTAATATTTTGAATTTCCCATTCTATATCAAAATAGATTTTTCTTGTGCTCATTTTTTATTTTTCTTGCTGTTTTAATTCGGACTTTAGGTAAAAACCTTTAAACATTGATTAGTATACCATTTAGAACTCATTATTAAGTCCTAATTCTTTACTTATTTCTTGAACTTTTTGTTCAATTTTATATATTTTGTTGTTGGGTTTTATGATTATTTCAGCAGTATCATTTTTTTAAGAAGTAGTTTCTTCTTCTTTATTATTCTTTTTGGGAATAATATAGTCTATACTGGGTCTAGTCATAGACTCAGTTCTTTGTATTTGAAAATTTCTTTTAGGGGCTTCCAAATGTAATATGGGTGAGAACAACTCGTCAATTTCAATTTTATCATGAGGTTTAAATGACAAACTATGATGACTATTGGTTAATGCATAATTTATTCTCCAGGTTACTGAGAAAGGGTGGTTTCCCTTTTTCATTAACTTATTTCTCAACATTTTCCAACACAGAGTGATGGATTCATCAAGATTATTGTCTAATAATGACATTCCTACTTGATAATTAAGATTAAACTTGATTTTTCCATATTTCAAGTTTCCTTGTCCTTCTGCAACAAGTGCATCAGACTTGTTTATCATCCTATTATCTTCTAGTCTGATTAGCATAGGTGTATCTATCCCTAAGCTAAACGTGCTTTTTAATATCATTTGTATTGTTGATACATGTATATATGCTATTTTATTTCTAACTTCAGATTTTATCATTTTTAAATTTTTATAATTTGTTCTTTACAAATTACAGGTATGATTACATTTCCTTGTGTTTGATCTGTATCAATTGCTTCTTCTCCAGCAATAATACCAAAGAATATTTCATTTTTTCTTAGGATTAAGCTATTAATCCTTTTAAACACTTTTTCTTTTAAAAAATTGTGTTCTTTATTTAAATCGTGTTCAACTTTTCCAAGTTTTTTTTAGCATCTATCAGGGCTTCTACGAAGTATCCTGATGTTTCTTGTTTTGAGAAATAATCTAATTGATTATTTTCCATTTACTTATTCTCTATACCTCCAAGGATCTAAACATTGTGTAAAGAATTCTTCTTCTATTCTAGAGTTAGTTCTAGCATTATTCTCTAGGATTTGTATTCCTATATTTAAATTTTTAATTTTTTCTTTATACCACTGTAATTCAATATTTTCTCTTCCAGAAAGAGTTATCCTATTTTCCATTTCATCAACTATTTTTTCTATAGTTTTTCTTCTGGCTAAGAAGGCATTTAACCAGTCTATTCCTGGCATTTTTAGTTTAGTATTTTTGCCTGGTAAGCTCTGATACCATTTTATTTGGGCTAGTTTTAAGCACTAGTTAGCTTATTTATAATTTAAGATTTTCTAAATCTTGAATAATTTTTTGTAAGTCTTTTTCTTTTTCTACTAATGAAAGATGAATATCATTATGAAAATTGTCTCTACTTCTATAACTATTATTCCTAATAGTTTGTTTTTCAATTCCTTTCTTTAAGAGTTGGAGTTTTTCAGAGATATCAGATTTTATAGAACACAATAAATTATATTCTAATGTTCTTATCTCACTTAATTTATCTAATGAAATAGGTGATTTCATACTATTTTCAATATTATTGAGAATTTTTTCAAAATTTTCGGAATTCATTACCTTGGTGGGATAAAACTCCTTCGTCTTCTTAGTCTTGTTGGTTGTACTTTTAGTTTTGAACTGGGTCCATCACAGCTTCCTGCTTTCAGCTTTCTTCTCTTAATTCCAAGCCAAACTCTAGACGCTTTACTACCCACACCTTGGGATTTACTCCGTCGAGTTTATTCAGGCCTCTAGGAAATTCCAAGAGATTTTAAACCTTAATGGCTTTTAGTCTATAAGTGATTTTTGTTTAGGCGTAATGCCTTTGGTCTTTGAAGAACTCTTGATATCTAAAGTTTTTCAGAAAAATTTTAAAAGAAAATTTTATTTGATATGAAAAGCTTGTTACATGAGAGATAGGAGAGATGAGGGATTCGATGCCTTACACTCTAATGGCATTCCCTTATATAGAAGCTAAAAATGCGTGAATTATTGGGGTTCGGCACAAGTCGCCGTCCCACCAAACGCATTATTGAAAAAGGACGAAAAAGCAGGAACTCTTCACATGAGTTTGTCTGCTACATTATTTCATAGCGGTAGGGCCTTCACTTATTACGGGTCACATGGCAATGGCTGGCATGTCTTCTTCCGAGGCAGCTGGCTTTATTGAATTATTTTCTCCTTTTATCAAAGTGGTGGGATCCTCCACGTTCTGATTAATTATGTCTGCAGTTTGTCTTTTGTCCTTAGCGTCGGCTGAGATCTTTTTCTTCTTAACTTGGTGGTTTTCTTTCTCTTCATTCACAGTAACAACAATGGCTTGTACTCTTTGTTTAGTTGCTTCTGTTGCATGGATTTTGAAAATGAGGTTTTCTTGCCAATTCTGAATTATTGCCAAGTCCTTCTTCTCAACCTTTTTGTTGTAGTTGCTGACCAACAGGATATTTGGACTGCAGTAATTTACTTTCACCTGACTTGAAGAATTTATTTTTTCTAATGTTTTTAAGATTAAATAAATTCTATCGTCGCGTTCCAGATTTAATTCATCCTCAGTTAATTGAGGTTTTTCTTGTACCAGAGGGGTTGGCGGTTTAACTTCTCCAGATATACCAACATGAATGTAGTGATAAGCTGGATACTGTTTATCTTCTTCCCAATCTGGAATAGAACTCCAAACTTTGATGAAGATTGTTTTGCCATTTTCTCGTATTCTGCACTTTTCCATATACAGATTAAGAGCTTGCTTGATTTTTGGAAAATATGACAGTTCTTTTAAACTGTTTTCTGGGTAAAGGACATCAATGAAACCTCCCAAAAATAAGTCTCTAGTAACTTCAGGTGCCACTCCTGGTAGTAGAATTGCTTTGACGTGTTGGTTTCTAGAGATAGGAATATATCCTTGTTCGCTTGTACTCGCATTTACTTCTTCGTTTAATGTGAGCCATTCACTTTTGGTTATAGTAGTTTTGATTAACTTACTATCCAATTTCTGTATTTTAAACTCATCAAATTTGAAGAACGAGTTATTCAAATGATTTTCTTTGGGTGTGCCAGTGTTGCGAAATACTGGTACTCTTTCAGCAATTTTGCTTTTTAGCTTTCCGAGAATTGTTTTAGCCTCAAATTCTGTTTTTGCCACATGATAATATTCTGGTGGCAAGTCTTTTACTTTCTCGAAGTTTTGATAAACTCCAATTTTCGGTCCAGTGTGAACTGTGTACCAATTACCTGCTCTTTCTTCCTCGATAAAGGTCGATTGAGTTTTTTGGGTATTTTTTACCAAAACATCTCTGTAAACAGTAGTTGTATTGGCTTCTTCTTTTCTATCAGACTCGGAAGGTTTTTTTGTCTAATTTTTTAACTATATTATCTTGAGTTTTTGCTTCAAGATTTCTAATTCATGCTCTTTTTGCATGATTTCTAACTTTAGTTCTTCGATCCGAAGATCCATCTTGATTCTTTTGTGCTTCTGATTTTCAATGTTGTTCTTCAATGGTTTTTACCTGCACAGTCAAATACCTGCAAATTCTCTCGTTAAACAATCTGCAAGATAATTTTTATCACCTTTTATGTATTCAACATCAAACTGGTAGTGTTTTAAGTGTAATTGCCACCTAATTAATCTACCTTGTTTATAATCTCCTTTAAATTCATTCTTAACAAAATAACTGAAGTTTTTATTGTCAGTTCTTACTAAGAATTTCTTAGAGATGAGATAAATTTTAAATTTTTGAATGCCTCGTAGAACTGCAAGCCATTCTTTCTCATTACTGTGATAGTTGTTTTCAGCACTTTTAAAAGTTCCTGACGTATATCTACACAGTTTCTCTATAGTGGAGTCTACTGGTTTCGCTTTTAAGACTGCACTCCAGTATGTATTAGAGGCATATGTTTCTAAGATCATGAAATCATCTTCTTGTGGGTGATATAAAGTTGGTAAGATTTTGAGTTTCCTCTTTATCTTATCTACATACAATGTATCACTTGGTAACCAGATGAATTCTACATCTTTTTTCAATTTTACTTGTAGAGGTTTTCGTATTTCTGCCAGATTGGCTACATATCCTTCTACGTAGTTTAATATTCCAAGAAACCTTTGAAGTTGTTTCTCATCTTTTATTTCTGAGGGAAATTCAGATATTTTGGTCATAATATGCGGTTGCATAGTTAAACTCCCATTTTCTATTTCTAAGCCTAAGAAATTAATCTTGGTTTGGGCAATCTTTGCTTTTTTCTCAGAGAGTATTATTCCTTCTTTGAGACATTGTTCAAGTACACGGATTACATGTACATAATGATCTTGTTCAGTTTTGCTGAAGACTATTATATCATCAACATAGACTGTACAAATATTTTTAAACTCTTTACTTGGGTCTTTCAGACACAAAGCATTATCAATCCTTCGTTGAAATATGCCAGGTGCTTGTTTTAGTCCAAAAGGGACTACATTCCACTCATAATGTCCATTGTGACAACTGAATGCTGTTAATTTTCGACATTCTTCTTTAAGAGGTACTTGCCAAAACCCACTCTTACAGTCAAATGTACTAAAATATTTCATGTCTTTGATTAAATGGAATAATTCTTCCTTTTTAGGTAAGAAATATCCATCCATTTCAGTATAGTCATTTAACCTTTTGTAGTTGATGACCATTCTTCTTTTATTTCGTCTCTTTTCTGATTCGTTTTCAACCAGAAAGGCTGAACTACTATGCATTGAATTACTTGGTCTAATTACTTTTATTTCAAGTAATTCTTTTATCTGTATATTAAATTCTTCTCTGTCTTGAGGAGTATAACTCATGGGTTTAACTCTTATAACCTTTGTAGGATCAATGAGTTATTTTGTATGCTTTTATTTAGCATTTTATCTAACGGGTTTTCACTCGTTATTTTCTTAAGAGCTTTTTGACAATCTTCAAGAGATAGTTTATAAAGCGTCTCGTGTTGTTAAAGTAAAGTTTTCATAATAAATTTACATTGCATTATTTTGAAAAAGATTCTTTCTAGATCTTTTGTTTCCTCATTATATGCAATATTTTTCTTTGGATTTTTTATAACCTCACCACGTTTTCGTAGTTTGGCGTTATGTTCCATAAATTTTTCGGATGCAATGCTATAAGCTTTACTGACAATACTAATATGTACTGCTGTTCCATTAAGATGGAGCAAGACATAATCAAGTTCTTGAACAAACGGTCTGTATAATTTCAAAAAGTTGTTTCCTATCAATAAATCAACTCCAGTATCTTGTTGATATATTGTAGGAACATGAAACTGTTCACCAGCAATGTGAAAAGTTCCATTATAGGCTACTTTTGAGAGGGTAATAACCTCTTTGTTGGCAACTTGTGCTGTAATCTTTTGTTTAGCAGTTTCCAACTTTTCTTTGGGTAATACTAGCTGATTTGCCGCGCAAATACTTGCTCCAGTATCAATATACCCATGGAGGTGATATTGTTTATATCCAGGGAATTTAAATCCAACTTTTATATATGTACTATTTGGATTTGTTATATTTGACAATCGTTCCATTCATCAGAACTTTCACCACTACAACTTTCCCATTCTGAATTTGGTTTTGTACTAAACCTTTTAAATTCTAATTCAAATTTTAATTCATACTCTGATCTATTTGAATCATTTTCTGACTCAATTGGTTCAAAACTGTATTTTTGCATTGCATAAAGCATTTTTACTTTATCTTTTTGTTCATTTCTTTTTGGACATTCGTTAGCATAATGTCCTTCTTCTTGACATAACCAACATCTACAATTAGTTTTGCCTTTAGGGCAATACTTATTGTTTTTCTTTTCAAACATTTTTCTATATTTTGGTTTATTAATATTATTATAACTTTCTTTTTTATATTTTCTATACTTGGGAATGTATCTCTTATATTTTTTAAATTTTTGTTTGTTTTGTTTGCGATAAATTCTTTCTTTCTTTGTTCTACATCCCCATTTATTTGGGATTTCTAATAGTTGTGGATCACAACAAGGTTTATTTTGGTAGTATAAAAGAGTTCCTCTTAATTGAGTATCTTTACATCTATCTTCTATTGTTTCTTTTAGAAGATTAACTCTTCCTGCAAAGCCATCGGTAATATGGTCTGGTTTATTAGACCATTTTTTATTCATTTCAAAAGCCCACAAAGGTGGTAGCTTATTAAAATATTTTTCAGCATAAGTTGATTTATCTTCTTGTCTTAACACGTAGTACTATTTTTCATACTCACATGTATAATTCCAATAACAGATATCACATATCTGAATATTATCTAAAATGAACTTTGCCTTTTTATGTCTCTCTTCTAAGACAGCGTTTGTGTTATCTAGTTCTCTTACTCCTACAAATTCATTAACTAGTAGTTTAGCAAGAGCATTTAGATATTCTATGTTATCTTCTGGTTTGTTCCAATGAGCATCAAGGCTTGGAACATATGGATTTGAGTCCCACCAATTTTTAACATTTCCCTTCATATGAAGTTCTAAGTACGTTCTCAATGTTCTTAGGTCTTCAAATGCTTCTTTATTAGTTTGTATTACTACTAACATGTAGTTATACCAACTTTTTATTTTTTCAACCGGTTTTGCTAAACAGTCTAGGTCAAGAATGTTGTCGTTATTATTCTTCGAGTCATCTTTTTGGAATAAACTCTTTTGGAATAAAATTCTTTGATTTTTTCTTATAAGTTTTAGTTTTGCTTCTATTCATATTCATCATTCCTGTGAAGTTTACTTCTGGGAATGTTTCATATGTTTTTTCTTCGTCTGATACTCCAAAATACCTATCAGCATTTGGATTGTAAAATTCATCATTTCTACATTCTTCAGGAGTCACGAATTCATGGGTATCGCAATAATTACTTGGTCCTGGAGGAATATCCTTCAGGTCTTCTTCAATCTTTATATTTAAGCGATTTTTAGGTTCTGAACTATCACTTTCTGTACAAGATTCACTATAATTACCTATGAATTCTTTCAAAGATAATATATTCTGATATTTATCTATTAAAGATTGAACATCAGTTTCATTTTGACTCAATTCTGAATCAGAACTCATTTTTTCTCCTGTAGTCTTTTATATTTGTCTTTTTCAAATAAATCTTTAAGATTCCATTCATTAGGGGGTCTATAAGTAGGTATAGACTTCTTTTTTTAAAACCTTTTATAAGTTTTTTTATTTCTATTGTTTTTGTGTCCTGATTACTAGAACCAGACTGATGTATTGTTTGTTCTATTTTTAGAACAATTTCTTTTATTTCACTAACTATTGTTAGAATTTGTTGTACATTTCCTATTTCAGAAATTTTAGACATTTATTCCTAACTCATTTCCAATTTGATTTACAAGTTGGATTACTTTATTTAGTTTTTCTATTAGTGGGTCAATTTGTGGAATTTTCCCATCTAATTTTGTTAGAGTTTCTTCTAATCTGTTTATGTTTATCCTATTAATATTCTCTATGATTTTATCAGCTTTTGCTGCAATATCAAGAATTTCTGAAAGTAAAGTATCAAGAAATTCAATATTTCTACGTGTCTTTTCGAGTCTTTCAAGAATTAGACCTTGATTTTCTCGAATTTTTTCAATATTTTCCCAAAGGGGAGTGTTTTTCATTTTGCTCATTTTCCCAATTTTTTGGGATTTTTAAATGCTTTTAAGTGAGCTGGTACCGTTATGAGTAAAACTGGTACATTTTCTTTAAAAGAGTGGTACAAAGATAAAATTGTGTTTATCAAATTAGTATAAGGGTAAAAATGTATTTTTTCCTTATGAGGGGACCAATTCTTTTGTCTTTAGGGAGTGGAAAGGAAGAAAATTTTGTTAGGGATTGAAGAGGAAAGTGAAAGTAGGTTTGGGGATTTAAAAGGAATTAGCCATTAAAAGGCCCAATGCTTTTCATTTCCCTACACCTATTCTATTGAGAAAATGACCTACCATACGGTCGCTAAAATTTGTATTTCCTTATTGACGAGATAATATTTTTATTATCAAATCTAATTCTTCATTTACATTTAAACGAGACAATGCTTATCCAAACTCCAACTTTATCATTATCTTTAAATATTAAAATTACTTCAACTGACAACTGTTCATCCCCATTTGTTTCCCCTCTGTTTCGTCCTCCCCATTTCTTTCTTGCAGAATAGAATAAAAATTAAAAACCAAACACGCCATCCTCATCACCTGCAAGCACGCCATAAGGTCCGATGCGATGGAGGTGGCCAACGGATTCGACGTCACAAGAGCTTCTCGGCCTTCACCACGCACCGCAGGCGGGAGGTTTGCATCCTTAGCGCTATCCGAACCGTTGCCAACATCACCCTCGATTTGAGATCTACTCCATGTTCAGCTCCTTCCTCCCCGCCGTCGGTGTCGCCTGCTGCCTTGAGGCTCAACCTGTAACCGCCTGTAGATCAAAATTGCGGTTTACTAATTTAGGGTTTGGCAAAATTTGGTTTGATATATTGGAAGTTTCATTTGATTGATGTTTAGATCTGTAAGTTGTTGAGATTTTTTTTTTAAATTTCTGCTCAATTTTCCTTTGGTATTTGAAACATTGACTTTGAAATTATTGCCATGGCTGAGAAATTTGGTCGGATCTTTAGTCCAGCGGATAATTTTCCTCAACTCTTTGGAGAAGAAGCGTTGAACAAATCGTGAATGTTAATTGTTTCCTCAGTTTAATTTTTTAATATCTTTTAGTATGTGATATATTTGTTACTTCGAACGATTTGGAGTGTTAATTTAATGTTTATCTACGGTGGTTATGTTAATTTGATGTTTGATGTTTATCTATGGTTGTTAATTCGTTTTTTTATCTTATTTCTAGTTTATATTCAATTTTTATTTTTATTTTTTTAGCATTCAATTATTTCATTGTTTTTTTGTGATTTAGTTAAAAAACAGATGATAAACTTACGATAATCAAAAGTTTTAAATAAATTTTAGAGTTATGATAAACTTAAGATAAACGTAAGATAAACTTAAGATAATCAAATGAAACTTCCAATATATCAAACCAAATTTTGCCAAACCCTAAATTAGTAAACCGCAATTTTGATCTACAGGCGGTTACAGGTTGAGCCTCAAGGCAGCAGGCGGCGCCGACGGCGGGGAGGAAGGAGCTGAACATGGAGTAGATCTCAAATCGAGGGTGATGTTGGCAACGGTTCGGATAGCGCTAAGGATGCAAACCTCCTGCCTGCGGTGCGTGGTGAAGGCCGAGAAGCTCTTGTGACGTCGAACCCGTTGGCCACCTCCATCGCATCGGACCTTATGGCGTGCTTGCAGGTGATGAGGATGGCGTGTTTGGTTTTTAATTTTTATTCTATTCTGCAAGAAAGAAATGGGGAGGACGAAACAGAGGGAAAACAAATGGGGATGAACAGTTGTCAGTTGAAGTAATTTTAATATTTAAAGATAATGATAAAGTTGGAGTTTGGATAAGCATTGTCTCGTTTAAATGTAAATGAAGAATTAGATTTGATAATAAATATATTATCTCGTCAATAAGGAAATACAAATTTTAGCAATCGTATGGTAGGTCATTTTCTCGAGACTTATTTTCTTCTGTTAAAAAGCCCAGTGGCGTTTCACTTCCCTCTCAGGTTGCTGCTCAATAGCCATCGACGACCGGTTGATGGTAGACGAATTTGCAGACGAATTTTGCAGACGCCATGGCTACGAAAACGGCGCAACAAAAGCAATTTCCTCTACTTCATATTATGATTTAATTACTTTGAGAGTTAAATTATGTTAAGAGACATTTAAGGGAATTGGTCTTTGGAAACTAATTATCAAATTNAACCAAAAAAAAAAAAAGCAAATAGCCACTATCATTTTTATTTACTCTATCTAGAGAGCTCAATTGAGTGGCAAAATTCAATAACCAAACGAACGGCGGTTATTAATATTATTATTGTAATACTAGTGTATATCCCGTGCAATGCACGAAAGAGTTCATATTTTAAACATTTTTTAGATTTTATTTTAAATATAATTATTTATATTTTTCACATCTCGTCTATTATGAAATTAAAATAAATACAATCAATGAAAAATATATAATATTAAATACTTTTCTTTATACAATATTTTTTATTTAAGGAATATTATTAAACCTTACGGTTTTGATTTGTTTTTTTAAATCAATAATCCAAAATATATGATTGTTAACGTACAAAAAGTAATGGAAATAATCCAGACTTTAAAGTAAAGCTATTTTTTATTATTTTACAAATAAAAATCTTCCAAATTTTTTTTAATTTCAAAAAAAAATTGGCAAGTTTGATAATGAGTTAAATCAAGTTATACAAATGATTAAATAGTTAAAATGTTATATTAATTATATTTTAAGAAATCTGATTATATAAAAATGGGTAAAAAAACATTATACTAACTAGTTTGTTAGGATTGTGATTATATGGAAGTTAAAATAAAATAAAATTTAACCAAAAAATTTGTTCGTGGTTTTTTCCTAAATGTTTGAATTTAAAATCTAGTAACCAAATTTACATTATATCACGTAAGGAAAAAAATAAATAATAAATATTTATTAAAGAGATAAATCAATAATATTTATCACTTAGATAATAAATAAGAAATATTTACATGTAAAAAAATAAATAATAATATATTTAAAAATATAAGTCAGAATTTCAAATAAAGTAAAAGGAGGGATAATTCATTTTTTAAAAAAGTTTCTAAATATTTAATATATTGATAAGTATCTCCATAAGAATAATAATACCATTTTAATTTTAAAAAAATTGGCAAGTTTGTTAGAGAGATAAATCCGGTTAGACAAATGATTAATTTGTTAAGTTATTATATTAATTGTATCATAAAAAATCGGTTAGATAATGTAGATAAAAAAATATAATACTAATTAGTTTGTTAGAAATGTGATAATGAAAACCAAGATAAAATGAAATTTACCCAAAAAATTTTTTTAGAATCTTTTCCTTTAAATGTTTGAATTTACAAATTTAATACAGAAATTCTATTATATCACATAAGGAAAAAATAAATAATAAACGTTTATTAATATATTAAAATATGTAATTTTGAATTTCATATAAAGTAAAAGGTATGCTTATTCAAATTTATTTTTAAAATAAAATTTATGATAAACATTTATTGATTCTCTTTCAAATATATTAATAAAATAAAAATATAAATCTAAACAAATTTTGAAACAACCAAAAAAATCGGATTGATTGGCATAAAAAAAGGAAGTGAAATCGGATTTGAATGCTAAAATCGGAACACCTTACCAAATTGAATACTAAAAGATTCGATTTAATTGGTTACCTAATTGCATGGGCTGAAAAAATTCAAAAAAAAATTTTACGAATTGAAGAAGCGGGAAAAACACTATATTGAAGCGGGAAAACGAAATGATTATTTTCGGATTGTTCAAATAATTTTTCTTCTCCGTATTATATAGTAATAGATATGAAAAAATTGAGGCTGTCTTTAAACAAATCATCTAAAAATAGTTAAAATTAGCACAACCCACGTTTTGTGTGAATGTTAAAATATTTCCTCTCATTTCAATCAAAAAGAAAGGCGCACACCTAGACAAAATGCAAAGACAACTCTCCCCCATTTATCGCAAAACATAACAATATCAGGGTTGGAGGCACATCGGATGGAGGCCGACCCCGCAGCGAGTTGTCCCATATCTGGAAATGGCGGCAGTGTTCCAGGATCCATCAGGTCGACCCCGTCGGCATCGATTTCAATTCAATTTCGATTTTACTTTCGGTCTCCTGGTGTATACGGATTTCAATTTCGCGACTACGAGGGGGTTGTAATTCCGATCGGAAAAGATAATGGGGGCAGGGGTCCGATTTCTTAAAATTAGATTTTTACTCAATTTGCACAGTGCGTGGGCCGGCTGTGCATAACACAATCGAGAGACTCCTAGTTAGTTAAACAAACTATGTGATAAATTATCTGCTATTATAGGTAACATTATCTATCCAATTCAGAGGGCCATTGGTTAATTTTGTCGGTATGGTTTGTTGGTACGTCATCATTAGACAATTGTATATTTTTTTTTTTAAAACAGGGATATGACATACTTTAAAAAATAACATAAATAAACTAGAGTTGTTAAACGAAACGAGCCGCTCGTGAGCTCGATGTTAGTGTGCATACTGAAAGTTTGGCTTTAGATATTATTCACACTATTTATATGAATGAGAATCCATGTTTGATTAAATAAAGTTATATGTTCTATTACTTTGCATTTAGATAAATTGTTCATCAAGGATGGACAGAAGATCATTTATCTGTTACTTGCGAAACATAAATAAATTGATTCACAATCTAAATGGAACTGAACAAACCATCGTAATGATTGTACTGTTAGCAGTACAGTCTGTCTTGATTGATTAGTCACACTAGTACACATTAGAGTATCGAATAGATCCCAATGAGGAGCAGTTCGTTTTATACTGATCGTCGTAAATGAACTAAGCCTCGACTAATTTGGCAAGAGTGGGCTTGACTCAAGTTATACCCAATACGTAAGGAGCCCAAGTTATCACCTCCTTAGGATCCCTACTGTAGCTCTATAAATACATCATTAAGCTCATAGGATTCAAAAGAACACAACCCTACACGTGATACGTGTTCGGCCGCCCCTTCTCTCTCTCTAGTTCCCATAGTCGAGCTTCCTTTTAGTTTTGTTGCTCCACCGATACAAAACGAAGAAGTGTTCGAGTAATATAGTAGAAGATCCCGTGGTATTGAGACCCCGAGATCATCATAGCCGACGAGCCTAGCAACCACCGCGCACGAAGCCGTCGACCACTGGAGCAAGCCGCAGCCCGCAAGTAGCCGCAACGACCTCGCTCCTGGAGATTCACCGCAGCAGCCCCGCAGCGCACGCAGCCCGCTCTCGGCGACCACCGCGTGCGATCCCGTCCGCCAGCTACACCCCCGATGCCCTCGTGCTCCCGGTGATCCCGCGACCGCGACACGCCCACGCTGCTCGACGACCACTGCAACCCGGCGACGCTCCTGACGAGCTTCTCGACGTCCGACGAGGAGAAATTCGGCAGACCAACGAATTCTGAGAACAGACGATCTCCAACACTGAAAATCTACAACGTCTCAGAGTCTGCAATTTTAAGCCGTAAGTTTTAGATCCGCTGCACGTAAGTTTATTGTTGTTATTAATTCGTGACTTGTGCATATAACGAGATCCTCACTGATCCCAACAGTCTCGGCCACAAGCCCACCAACGAACCCTAGACGACCCGTCCGCACACTAGGCGAGTCGTGGCGAGTCCGGACAATCCCGATGCCAGCTCGATAGCAGTCCGACAATCCCGATGCCAGCCTGGTAGCCCAACAGACTCTAAGGTTCATACGATGTCCAACTCAGAATTGTCTCAGAGTCAGCAAAAAATTTAAACGTAAGTCATGATCCTAATTATAGATTACGCTGCGTTAGGATTCATTTTTAATACTTTTGGATGTGCACATCGATGACGTTTCTCATAGACCCACATTTGGCATAAGAACTCAGACTAATTCGTTTTTGTACACTATTCGGATTAGGATTTATGTACATAAATGAATTATTTGTGTTAGGACGCTGCCCATAGAAGATTAGAATTATTGATAATTTTGGCTGCAAATCGGTATAAACCTTAATGCTCAGCTACCGAGAGGATAAATTCACTGAACTGAAAAATTCTCCAATTGTACCCAAAAA